GCCTAGGAAAGAGGAACATTCTGCCTCTTTAAAATGGCAGCACTTAAATCAAGAACATCAATAATTCGATGTTCCTTTTTTAAAATTTTTGCCATAGGGCGCTGCTCACAGGAAAGAGAGAAAAGTGATAAACCACTGCCCCCTCCCCCAGGGAAGATGGCCACGCCACAATCCATTTTCCTCCCTTCTCGTCTCAGGATTTTGGGCACACACACACACACATGTGCCCAGGGTGCTTTTCAAGCTGTCAGATCTGGGACTTAAACCGTGGAGTCAGCCATGTGGGTCCAGCTCCTTAACCACCACACCACCTGCTGGCCTAGTAACTAGACATATCTGATGATAATCTGAGTTAGCTAATATTGGGTTAAATGTACTCTTGAGAGTATGGATTTGACTTTCATATCTTTTTTCAGATAAAATAAGAACAAATTCATAAAGAAAGAGATTTATTTTGATCCTAGCTTTTACTTTTTTTTTTTTTGGAGAGGTTTTCACTGTAGGGCGCGTGCGCTCACCAGACAGACAGAGAGACATAGAGACAGAAAGCGAGAAATCACCCCCCAGGGGGGATGGTCACGCCACAATCCCTTCTCCTCCATTCTCCTCTCGGGATCTTGGGCACGCACGCACACGCGCCCGGCATGAGTTTTAAGCCACCGGGTCCGGGACGTGAACCGCAGTCGACTATGTGGGAGTCCAGTGACATAGCCATTACACTAACTGCTGGTTCCCCAGCTTTTACTTTTAAAAAGTCTAAGCATATAGATATATTCATGCATACATGCACCCCTGTAACTTATTTTCTTAGACTTATGAAGTCTTAGGTAGGTCAACCTTTTATAGCTAAGTTCTTAATTTTGCTAGAGGTTATGTTAAAATAATTATTTGGCATAGGAAGTTAGTTTTAAATCCTCAGAGAATACCAGTCGTTAACTTCTTTAAGAAGTTGTTATATATATATATCTCACATATATAATATAGTGTTACATGTATACGTATCATATTCTGGAGAGGTATTGAACATCTCTAATAAGTGGAGCTATAATCAATTGATTGACAGTAGGTATTATGAGCAATTGCATTTATCCTCCTGTGCATAGAGATAAGCACCATGAAGTGGTAGCTATCGTTGTACTTTTTATTTTTCTTAGAACCTGGTGAAGCACCAAACAACTCTCCTAGCATACTAGCCATGCTGGAAACACTGCAAAATGCTCCCTACCTAGAAGTCCACAAAGACATGATTCGGTGGATATTAAAGGTAAAATTTCCTGCACTGCTCTGCTTTTTGTGAGAAACACTAAATATTTCTTATTTGTACATTACAACAATGTTTCATAGCTTCAAGATAACCTGGTCCTTTTTTTGTAGACCTTTAATGCTATTAAGAAGATAAGGGAGAGTTCATCTACGAGTCCTGTGGCAGAGACAGAAGGAACCATCATGGAAGAGGTATAAGAAAGTAAAGTATGTTAATACGAAAAATGGCTGCACGTTCAGTATGAACAAGTTAAATTGATCTGCAAACTTAGTAGTGGACATTACTCACGAACATCTGATTCTCAAGAAATGTACCACCATGTATTCCTTGTAGCAATTTTCTTGATCTGCTTTTTCTTTTTAAACATGTTAGGTTGGTTGATACTCTCTTTTCTTGTTTAAGTGAGGTTGTCGAATATTAATAGTTTTATTTAGTACTTATAATAAAGGTATTTCTCGTTTGGGAGAAAAAATATGCCTTTAGCGTCTAACAGTCTAAGTGACCGAAGCATGATTTCAGAGTTCAAGAGATAAAGACAAAGCTGAGAGGAAGAGGAAAGCTGAGATCGCCAGGCTGCGCAGAGAGAAGATCATGGCCCAGATGTCCGAGATGCAGCGGCACTTCATCGATGAGAACAAGGAGCTCTTCCAGCAGACGCTAGAGCTGGATGCCTCTACCTCTGCTGTTCTGGACAGCAGGTGAAAGAGATCATCATCTTTTTTTGTTTGTTTTTTTTTTTTTGGTTTTTTTTTTTTCAGAGGTTTTTGCTATATGGTGCTTGCACTTCCCAGAAAGACAGAAAGAGAGACAGAGAGACAGAAAGCGAGAAATCACCCCCCAGGAGGGATGGCCGCACCACAGTCCCTTCTCCTCCACTCTCCGCTTGGGATCTTGGGTGTGCACACACACATGCCTGGCATGAATTTAAGCAACTGGGTCCGGGACTCAAACCGCAGTTGACTACATGGGAGTCCAGCGACATAACCATTACGCCAACTGCTGATCCCAAAAGAGATAATCATGATTTTAAAATCTTAACCAGTGTGGGGTTTTCGGGGTTTTTTTAAAGAGATTTTTGCCTTAGGGCAAGTGCTCTTTCTGGCGAGAGAGAGAGAGAGATTAAGTGAGAAATCACCCCCCTCCCCAGGAGGGGGGCTAGCCACATTACAATCCCTGTTCCTCCCAGGATGTTGGGCACGCACACACATGCTTCTGGTGTGATTTTTCAAGCCACCAGGTCCAGGACTAGAACCATGGTTGGCCATGTGGGAGTATAGCAACATAATCGCTCTGCTATCTGCTGGTCCCATCAATCAGTGGGTTCTGATTGGAGGCACTGTTGCTTTTACTTCATACAATTTAGTCCTAAAGTAATTTAGTGGAGTTGATAGGTCCACTTTGTGGTCATTGGTTAGAGGACTCAGTCTCAGAAATCTCCGACTATAGATAAGAAAACTCAGATGTACAGCTGGACAGTGCTGTATACAGAAGACCCTCGCCGTTCATGAGAGAGCGAGTGCAGTGGGCTCGATTACCTGTGTCTGGCATCTGTCTTGTATATTGGATTGCTGTCAGGGTTAAAGTAGGTGGTTTCAGTACATATGGAAAACTCGTGGTGACTCAAGTCATCAAAACTATATGTTAAATATGTACATATCTGGAGTCTGCAGTTTTATGATTACGTAGCAATACTTGGGTTCAACAGTTACATTCATAACCTTTTTATGGCAGCCCTATGGTTTCAGATGTGACACTTACAGCATTGGGCCCGGCACAGACTCAAGTTCCTGAACAAAGACAGTTTGTTACCTGTATATTGTGTCAAGAGGAGCAAGAAGTTAAAGTGGAAAGCAGGGCAATGGTCTTAGCGGCATTTGTTCAGAGGTCAACTGTATTATCAAAAAATAGAAGTAAATGCATTCAGGATCCAGGTAAGTCTTAGTGAGATCCTCATCCTCCCTGCTAATCACTGCCAGTTAGCGCGGTCAGTGATAGAGATTTTAGTAATCTATTGGGTCGTTGGAAAAATCATGACGCAATTTTACATAGGAAAATACGGAAACATGATTTTTCCAGCGACCCAATAATAATGACTTCATGCATTTGATGCTGTCTTTGGCAAATGATTTAGGTAGGAATTCCCCACTGGACGGGTGTCAACCACTCTACAAGGTGAAGTATGGTGCCTGAATCACACACCTGGTAAATAGCAGAGATTCAAAGATAAGCTTTTCTTTAGATGTGACATTAACATACTTTGGCACTTAACAGTCTTTTCAGTCCTTCAACACACTTGTAAAGTCCTGGTCATTTGTTGACATGTTAAAATAAGAATAATTATTTTGTCTTATGGATAGAGCCAGAGTGGACTCTCTCAAGAATAATGATACAAGTCTATCTATCTATGTGAGAAGCAATCCTTGAGCCAGGTTTTGACTTAGAATAATGAACTGCCACAAGAAGTGTTCCCCAGAAAGCAGATTCTTGAGACTACTGTGTAGGACATCTGTTAGAGAGAGCCTTGGGACCAACATCTGTGGGAAGGAGGAGAAGGAAGCAGATTTGGGTAACGGGAGAGGTTGAGGAGCAATGCAGTCCCCAGAGGGCCTCAGCCAACCCCGTGGGAGCTCTGGAGCTGGGTGCCCTTCTGAGTGTCCTGAGTTGGGGCACGGAGGCTGAGTCTTAGACCCTGACGCTGATAAGTGACTGAGTGTGGGCCACCCCAGAAAGAGGTGTGACCTCGAGTGGAATGACTGAGGGCCCCTTTCAATAGCCGGAGGAGAAAGTCACCAGTTCTTACAGAGGAATTTGGATTGCACATTGCTGTGTCCACCAGACGCTTCGTGTCTGCTCTGAGGTTTGTTGGCCATGTGCACACAGCGATACCCATCAACCTTTTTTTTTTTAAGAGAGATTTTGCTGTAGGGTACATGTGCTCTCTAGAGACAGAGTGACAGAAAGTGAGAAATCACCCCCTCAGGTGGAATGGTCACGCCGCAATCCCTTCTCTTCCATTCTCCTCTCAGATTTTGGGCACACATGCACATGCCCCTGATGTGAGTTTTAAGCCTCTGGGTCCAGGACTTGAACTGCAGTCGACAACATAGGAGTCTAGCGACATAACCATTACGCCACCTGCTGGTCCCCTCATCAAACTTTTTGAGAGTAGGAACTACTGGGGAATTTCCAAAACACTTCTTTCGCTAGTGCCTTTCATATTGCAGGATCTCAAGGCTGGAGAGCCCACTGGTAGAGACCTACTCTCACATATCCCAGTTAGGAAAGACTGGTCTGCTTTATCTTAAAAAACATTATTCGAGTAGCCAGTAGGTGGCGTAGTGATTAAGGCACTGGACTCCCAGATGGCCTACTGCAGTTCAAGTCCCAGATCTGCCAGCCTGAGGATCACACCAGGTGCATGTCCTCCTCCAGAATCTCAGGAGGAGAATAGAAGAGAAGGGATTGCGGCGTGACCATCCCAACTGGCAGTGATTTCTCACTGTCCGTCTCTCTCTCTCTGTCTCTCTGGTGAGCACACATACTCTATGGCAAAAACCTAAAAAAAAAAGTTATTTCAACTAAGTGCTTAATGAATTTCGTTCCAAGCTAAAGACAGAGTTGCTAATTTTATTACAGTGCAGTTACTTTCTGAGGAAAAAACTTTTGGCTGGCCACAAGTAGATTTTCTAAGTCCTTTCACAATTCATATCATATCATTGTTGGGTTTTGGGGGTGGGGTTTTTGTTTTTTTTGTTTTTTTTTTTTTTTTTTGGTCTTTTTATGCTGTGACATTTGCTTTCTCAGAAACTATTATATAAAGCACATTGAAATTTGAGTAATTCTTTCCTAGAGTGTTAAGGAATTTTTAAGATTATATTGATTTATGAAGAGAATTCAGAAACTTCTGAAAGAAGCCAAGCATCCATCTTGCTTGTCTTTGTTTTTAATCTCCTTCTCATATAAAAGTTAGCTGCTTTCTCCAGAAGAGAAGACTCTGAATTCCATTTTTCATTGTTCTCTGCATGAGTGTCTTTGCCAGACTCTCCTCTAGGGTGCGCCCCATTACTGCCCAAATACCTCGTTTGTTAGAAACCTTGTGACCTGCTGCCCTGAATGTAGTTAAAGGCAGCCCATCATAAGCCAAACAATATGATTGAAACTATATACAAAAAACAAATAATAAATAATGTGGGGGAAAAAAAAAAAGAATATCACCTTTACTTTGAGCTCAGTGCATTAGGGCATGGTGGAACTGGAATAGCTCAGTGCCCTGACAGTGTGAAATATTCCAAAGATTGGATATGTTTAAATAAGTGCCCCAGTGTCCATTTACAATCCAGGGAAGTTTAATTTGCTGAGGGTGATGAAAACCAGAGTGCTGCTTTCTAAGTATCCCAAGGTCTTAAAGAAATCATTGATATCTCAAATGAAAAGGAATAAACTCTTATAGCTTCCCAAGTTTAGAAGTCCTCATCAAGGACCTCACAATTTAAAGTTGCACTTTATTATACGAAAATTAAATGCCTGGTATTTTGGTTTTTGTTTGTTTCATAATGCAGAAAAATACAATCCATTATTCACGCACCCTGATCTGTCTTGTGGAACGCACACTGGCAGCTGTGGACACGTTATGCATGCCCATTGTTGGCAAAGGTAATTTATATTTTTTCTTTAAAGAATTATTTTATTTAACTTTATTGTTTTAATCATTATTTTTATTTAACTTTATTTTATTTTATTTATTTTTAATTTGACCGGAGAGGTATGGGGGTAGGGTGGGGGCTGAGAAAGCAAGCCGCCAGGTTCAGGACTTGAACCATAGTCAGCCATGTGGGAGTCCAGAACCCTTAACCACCATGCCACTTACTGGTCCCTGTTTGTTTGTTTTATTTTTAATTTAACTAGAGATGGGGAGAGAGAGAGCAAGCTGCCAGGTCCGGGACAATTAAAAGTGATTTGTTTTATCATAGATGTAGAAGAGTAGCTTAGAAACTTCATAATATGTCAAGTGCTTTTTTTTTTAATTTATCTTTTTATCAAAGTCTCTTCTTTACTCTTCCAAATAAGGAATGAAATATTCCAAAGATTGGATATGTTTAAATAAGTGCCCCAGTGTCCATTTACAATCCAGGGAAGTTTAATTTGCTGAGGGTGATGAAAACCAGAGTGCTGCTTTCTAAGTATCCCAAGGTCTTAAAGAAGTCATTGATATCTCAAATGAAAGGAATAAACTCTTGTAGCTTCCCAAGTTTAGAAGTCCTCATCAAGGACCTCACAATTTAAAGTTGCACTTTATTATACGAAAATTAAATGCCTGGTATTTTGGTTTTTGTTTGTTTCATAATGCAGAAAAATACAATCCATTATTCACGCACCCTGATCTGTCTTGTGGAACGCATACTGGCAGCTGTGGACACGTTATGCATGCCCATTGTTGGCAAAGGTAATTTATATTTTTTCTTTAAAGAATTATTTTATTTAACTTTATTGTTTTAATCATTATTTTTATTTAACTTTATTTTATTTTATTTATTTTTAATTTGACCAGAGAGGTATGGGGGTGGGGTGGGGGGCTGAGAAAGCAAGCCGCCAGGTTCAGGACTTGAACCATAGTCAGCCATGTGGGAGTCCAGAACCCTTAACCACCATGCCACTTACTGGTCCCTGTTTGTTTGTTTTATTTTTAATTTAACTAGAGATGGGGAGAGAGAGAGCAAGCTGCCAGGTCCGGGACAATTAAAAGTGATTTGTTTTATCATAGATGTAGAAGAGTAGCTTAGAAACTTCATAATAATATATCAACTTTTTTTTTTTTTAATTTATCTTTTTATCAAAGTCTCTTCTTTACTCTTCCAAATAAGGAAGTGGCTCTGTATTAGCTAACAAACTGGGTAAAGAAGAGGGTCATTACAGCACAGTAAGCCCTAGAAGGGTAATATTTTTCTGTGGGTTCAGAATTCTGAGGTGTTAGTATTTGCTTTTGTACGTCCCAAGAGTATAATGGTTCCTGTGCTAAGATGGGGTAACTCTGAACCCCTCTGCCTTGGTTCTTTCTGTGCTTCTGCACAACCATCGAATCAGTGCTCTTATTCTAGCACTGGGCTCACTGAGTTGTCCTGAACCACCCCTAACCAGTAGCCTCCAGCCTTGTGGAGTGGCCAGACCAAAGGCACCAAGAAATTTCTGCTGCTCCTTTGTGAATGCTTATTTACAAAGCAGTTTTTCTTCGGTATTCCTGTTTAGAACTCTCAACCTATTTTAATTGTTTCAAAATCATGTTGCCAATGTCAAAAATAATAGAGCTCATTTTAAGATTTTTATTTTGGAACTATTTGTGGAAACAAATTACTTAAAACATTGATGTTCTGACTCCCATTGATTTAATTGCCATTGTTTTTGATACCTCATATTCTCTAATTATAAAGGTATTTTGATTCCGTTCAAGCTAAAGAACAGCGAAGGCAACAGAGATTACGCTTACATACAAGCTATGACGTAGAAAACGGAGAATTCCTTTGTCCCCTTTGTGAGTGCTTGAGCAATACCGTCATTCCCCTGCTGCTTCCTCCAAGGAATATTTTCGGCAGGTAAGTTCAGTTCAGAGCACCGTACAGTAAAGCAGTAGTTGGGTTGAGTGTAATGAAGTAATAACTCGGGGGGAGACCAACTCTAGGTAATCCTGTAATTTTCCCAGACACTTTCCAAACTATTTGTTTGGTCATTTCTTTCTAACAGGCCTGTAGAATATGATTTGGTTTTTAGAGAGGAACAGGCCAAAATTTAATAGTTTCTTAGTCACCTGTCAATACTGCAGAAGATTTAAAATTCCTGTGTATTCATGAAAGCTAAGTATCTTCTTTACTTGTGGAGACTGTACCTTAAATACCTAGTTTCTGAGAGATGCTTCATAAACTGACAGTGGAGATGGGACAGCTCAAACTGACTTCATTAGCTAATCTAACAATTTAATCCAGTTTTTTGCATTTTTCTGGCCAACAGTCGCTTTAGGAATCTGGCAAAAAAAAATGAAAATCTGGTAATGTGTTTAAAATGGAAAAATTCCAGATTTCAATATTTTTAGGATACTTTTAGTTAATAAGGATTCTGAATTTCATTTTGCAGTTTAGAATTAGGTTGTCTAGGGCCAGCAGGTAGCGGGGTGGTTGAGGAGCTAGACCCCCATATGGCCTTCCATGGTTTGAGTCCTGGACCTGGCAGCTTGTTTTCTCACTTTCCTTCTCTCTCTCTCCTTCTCTCTGGTCAAATTAAAATAAATGAATAAGTAAAATTAAATAAATAATTGAAAACAATTTTAAAGAAGCTGTCTATCTTATATGCACAAAAAATTTTATAAGCCTTCCATTTCTGTGCTGTTATTTCAGTTCATTTCAAAGCAAAGTCAGTTTGTTTTTTCCTTTTCACTTTTAGGAAGTCACACTTTGGTGTCTTAGCTATAGAATGTCTTAAAATATTAGGGTTGATTGTAACCCCATACTTTTTAATCATAAAAGAATATCGTGGTGCTGATTTGCATGTGCATTTGAACTGATAAATTAATCATTATTGAAGAATGAACAAACAGTATGTAAAGAGAAATCATCTTTGTTAGATTTCACCTGTCACTTTGGTGGTTCAGTTTTTGTTTTTTTCTCATGAGAGTTAGTTATGGCATGGTTATAATTGAATTCAGTTATAAAAAGAACAGTTTGGCGTCTGGTAGAGTTAGAATGCCAGCTCTGTCTTTAATGGTCTTAATTAAGTAAGTTACACAGATCTAAACTTCAGTTTCCTCATCTATAAAAATCAGGACAGGGACCAGCAATTGGCATAATGGCTATGTCGCTGGACTTTCATGTAGCCGACCACGGTTCGAGTCCCAGACCCAGTGGCTTAAACTCATGCTGGGCACATGTGCATCGTGCCCAAGATCCCAAGAGGAGAATGGAGGAGAAGGGATTGTGGCGTGGCTATCCCCGCTGGGGCTGGGGGTGGTTTCTCATTTTCTGTCTCTCTGACTCTGTCTTTCTGGCAAGCACACAAGCCCTATAGCAAAATTTCTCAAAAAAAAAAAAAAAATTGAGACTGTAATAAAACTATTTTATAGGACTATTTTGAGATTTACAGGTAATTCTGTGAGATGCTTACATTAAAGAGCTTCACTAAATGCTTGCCACATTTGATAAATATTAGTGGCAGTAATGGCTATGGGTTTTTTCTGGGTTTTTTGTTTTTTTTGTTTTTTTGCCATTACGCTAACTGCTGGTTCCCTTTTTTTGGTTTTTTTTGAGAGGTTTTTGCTACAAGGTGCATGCGCTCACCAGAAAGACAGAGAGACAGGAAGCAAGAAATCACCCCCGCCCCCGGGGGAGGGGAGATGGCCATGCCGCAGTCCCTTCTCCTCCATTCTCCTCTCAGGATCTTGGGCACACATGCACACGTGCCCGGCATGAGTTTAAGCCACTGGGTCCAGGACTCAAACTACGGTCGACTACATAGGAGTTCAGCGACATGGCCATTACAACAACTGCTGGTCCCAATGACTATGATATTTAAGAAATTTTAGTCATAATTTAAAAAAAAAGAAAAAAATTTTAGCCAATTTCAGTACTGAAAAAAGTGAAATGTTTAACAAATAATGTCAGCATCATATTGACAAATAATACATTTTATTTATATTGGCCAATATCCATTCTGATTTTTTTAGATTTTTGCCATAGGGCACATGAACTCACTGGAGAAGAGAGGAGAGAAAATGAGAAATCACTCCCCAGGAGAATAGCCTTGCCATAATTCCAAGACTTGATCCATAGAGTTGGCCATGTTGGATCCGGCGCCTTAACCACCACACCACCTGCTGATCCCTATTCTGATGTTGCTGTTATTGTTAGGTTTTTGCCAAAGGGTGTGTGCACTCACTGGAAGGGGGGAGGGGTAGTAAGAAATCGCCCCCCACGGGAGATGGTCGTGCTGTGTCCTCCTCCACTCTCCTCTTGGGATTTTGGGCACACAAACACACACACATTATATAATTCTCCAGCTGCCAGATCCGGGACTCAACCACTATGTGCCATGTGGGAGTCCAGGGCCTTAACCACCACACCACCCATTGGACCCCTATTCTGATATTTTTACCACAACAAATTTTTTCCTAGCCTTATTTTTTTTTCCAATATTTGAAGTATATTTAAAATATTAAACCTATGATCATTTAAGGAATATTTTTTTATTTTTCACTAAGCAAAATAATGAAATTACTAAATGTTCTCTTTACTCTTTCCTAGCAGGTTAAAATTTTCAGACCAACCAAATCTGACTCAGTGGATTAGAACAATATCTCAGCAAATAAAAGCATTGCAGGCTCTTAGGAAAGGAGAAAGCAACAGTAAGTTCTGCTAACCTGTTTCCATTGTCCCTTGAAGTGTAAGATCATTAGAAAATGTGTTTTCATAACAAATTGTTTTAAAGTATTTGAAAGCGAAGCCTTCTGTTTAAAAATTTGACTCATTCTAATTCTTTACTAAAAAAAATTTTAATTTAATTTCACTTTGCAGCATTACTTCTTATTCCTTGAAAACACACCAGTTCATATGACACCTCTGAGTTCTTCTCACTTATTTCCTCATTTCAAGAAGAGCTACTGGGGGGAACCAGCAGTTAGCGTAATGGCTATGTCACTAGATTCCCACATAGTCGACCGTGGTTCACGTCCCGGACCCGGTGGCTTAGAACTCACACCAGGCTCGTGTGCGTGCGTGCCCAAGATCCCAAGAGGAGAAAGGAGGAGAAGGGATTGCGGCGTGACCATCCCCCCCCTGGGGATGGTCTCGCTTTATGTCTCTCTGTCTGGCAAGCGCACGAGCCCTATAGTAAAAATCTCTCAAAAAAAAAAAAAGAAGAGCTGCTGGGGGGCAGGGGGAACAACCACGTGTAGAAGAGCTCGCCTCAGTTTCC